TTTTTTCTGATGAACTGACGACTTATTGAATGGATAACCAAACAAAAAGTACATGTTCACTTTCGGAAATTTTCTGGAACAACACATTGCTTGGAATAAGTTTATATGACGAAGCATCAAAGATCCCGTCTTATCTAAAGGAATCGAGCTCGTTTCCTTGAATCAGCAATGCGTCAAGGTCAATTTCCTCATCATATACCACCACCAGCCAGAATCACTTAATGATGACAAACTAACGAACCGTGCGACAGAACCCCACAATGCATTGTGGATGATACTTGATAACGTCAATACACTGACCATAGATTGGATCAGCCCATGTGCCGTTATTTTGACACAATCTCTGCACATTGAATTCATCTGAAAAGAAATGCAATTACTACAAAACTTCTATCGTTCCCATCTACCGTCAATAAGGAGCATGTGAGCATACATATCAGCAAATGAGAATTTCCTCACTTAATCCTAGGAAGCAACCAATCGATCAAATTGTAGCTGATGACTGTCTAATCGCATTATGCAAGTCTAGTGAAAAGTTTTGGTGCGTTCTGTGAGGACTAATTACTATAAACAGTAGTTGCCGGTCAATATGGGTGGTCGTTGGTTTTGAGGAGAGTGTTACTGTAACAGATATTATAAAAGGCAGCAAATTGAGACAAGCTGGAAAGTAATGCCCCACTTGCGATTCGCTCACAACCGGCCACATTCAAGCAATACGTGAATGGGCATTTTCGTTCAGCAACTTCGCCAAACGAAGCGCTTTGCCAACATAGTGATCGATCGAAATTCGCTGAACACCCCCTGAAGTAGTAATAAATTATTAATTTCCACTTCATCCATCAATTGATTTATCAATCAGTCGTCTGATCATTCACAATTTCAACAACTACTGCAACAAACTTCAGTCAATCACCCACTCAATCACAATTCATGGCTCACACTCGTTTACATCCGCTTCGTTATTGATTCACACTATGCAACTCTGAAACTGGTTAAAGGATCGACACAATCAGTAAACCAACAAATTTGAAGATTTATCTTGCAAAACAACAACGTTCAAACTACACTTAAATATATATTAACAGCTACTGGTTGTAGATGCGTACAACTATCAAATTTTAACGGAACAAGCGAGTAACTACTATCTCCCTTATACCTCATAATAGTATCTTATAAAAATAGCTTTTCTTTATAACGCAACAATGTTCATAATATCACTATTATATCTTCTACATTACAATTTATGGAAGAAAAGGTTCCTCATTCAATTTCGAAATTTTTCGCGCTCCTTGTTTATCTTGCTTATAGTTTATCAGCGCTTGCTTGGTCTTTGCAGAAACAGCAACGAAGTTGCTTTACAATTGTTCTGGGAATTGACAAATTCATGCAGACAGCAAACTCAATTCATTCATTCATGAATATTCCATTAAAATATTTTACGGACGAAAGTGATCTATAGTCCATACAAATAATCGTGAATGTATGTTGTCTGGTGTGGTGTTTTTCGTGTGCACTGTTAAACTGACTGATAATTATGCAACTCTCAGCTGACTTGATCATTTGAATGACAGTTTTGCTGTTGCTACTAGTGTTCGTCGGGGAGCAATTTTTCGCACGCGGGGGGGTCCCCGCGGGGAGNGGGGGGGTCTCCGCGAAAAAGTCGGGGAGCAAATTGCGCGGGGGGGAGCGCTCCCCGCGTTCCCCGACGAACACTAGTTGCTACCGATATAGATTCCTAGATATTTAATAGCTCTCTCTTTACGCTTGCTTCGTCAAATGCAAAAAAAGATCCCGATAATTAGCAGTTTAGATCACAAACCCTAGAAACATATTACCTATGCACACACATACATTTTACTTGTTCAGTTTGTCGAATATATCTACAATGCAGTCAATTATTTACTTATCTGTTCATCTATCTTGAAGATGTTATTTATGTATGAATTCTTATAGATAGATGTATGCATACCTATTAAGAGTGGAGTAACATATGCATATAACACAACAGTGGTCCGAATAAGTAAGAACATGCTTGAGGAGCGCTAAACGGATGAATAGGCCATAATAGCATTACTTGTATTAATCAAAAATAAATACATAAATGTGTTAGTCACATCGTAAAAATAGATATAGATACTACGAGAGTAATGTGTCATATTTCTTATCTTGTGAATAGAAAATATTTAACCGTTTATATATGACAGCAATACCTACGCTAATTGCTAATATTAGTAAGCATCATAAGTAATAAAATTATCATCAGTGAATGGTCCATGTGTGTGTTTGTTTTTATTGAGAATTCGATGGTAACATTAATCATATTAGTCATACTGAGACTGATCACAGCGATAATAACTGCTGCAACAACATAAACAATAATTATGTTCTATACAAAAAACAATAATACCAATGATAACGACATCTTCCAATCTGAACTGATCAGTCAGCCGAACAAACTTGCCAACAATACATCAACGAATAATGAATTAGCTAATGGAGCGCTTGAAGTGATAAATCAAGAGTTTTGAAATGTGAATGGTAAGTAATTAATTGAACATCTCTCAGTTTCTACTTATCACTTCTTATCGATCGCTATCATCCATCAATGTCATCGACAACTAATTGCATGAATTTTGATTGTGATTTGAAACAGCGTATTCAGCTAATTAATCGATTCTTCTTTATCACAGCAATACGCCATCACACAAACTGCAATGTTCATATCAAGAAATTTTCCTTTCACTACCCAGTAGCAATGGTTTGAGCATCGAACTCAGAGATTTTTGCCTCATTTTGATTTCATGAACCGAAACGTTATCTCAGACTTAATATATCACATACCCTAATACCCTGTTATTCAATTAAATACTTCGGCTGATTTTCTCGTTGTTTCTTAACCCACATTATCTAAATTCACCTAATAAGTCAATTAGAATTCGAATATGTTCACGATGCAAGGTGGTGATGAATAATTTTTTCATACTTATCTACATACATATAAATAGTATAAAAATAACTATGATATACTGGAATAGCAAATAAGCTCATATAGAGTATTATGTATATGCATTCATTTCTCAAGGCTTCCACTGGAAATCAAGAGCATCAGTAGCCGTAGCAAATAGCATCATCATCATACTATATTCATATAATATATTAATATCTGATTATGTTTATTTGTGCGGCGTAAAAGTCCATTGTTATTGCTTACAAGGGATGTAATCATCTTTTCATCCATTTATCATACTAATCCCTCTCTATGCAAAACATTCAGAGCAGTTTCTTCCATAATGAATCAGTCACCTACCCAACCGCTCCCTCGTCCACCGTCTTATAAATAAATAAATAAATATGTATATA